TTTAATATTTATAAATGAGACTACGTGTGGTGGCATGTGCCTATAACTCCAGGACTTAGCAAGTCAAGGCAGAAGAGTCAGGTCAAGGTTATTCTTGGACACACAGCAAGTTTGAGACCAGCCTGGGCTACACGATATCTTATCTTTAAACAAACAAACAAAATCTCTTTATGCCAGGGTTGAATGTCAGGTTAAGTAATATTTAAAGACTTAAAAAAGCAATGTGAAGTACTAATTTAATAGACTGAGCAAAAAAGATATAAACCCAGCATTCAGAAATAATCATCTGTTAAATTTCTGTAGACTGTTTCTTCTCTGTAATGATAAACAACACCAAAGAGAATATCTCAGACTTCTGACCAATAATGAATTTCTGAGCATAGACAGCAGAGTCTGTGGTGATGTGTAGGTTTTCACACACAACTAATGACTTCAATTTATTGAACCTGCTATTATTTATAAACACATGATGGGGGACCCACAAGGGGTAGCGGTAGGTCACCCAAGGCCTCAGTGTGTCCTCTTGGCAGGTGGGAGACCATGGTGGGTGAGTGACAGACAGATACGCTATGCAAAGAGAAAGAGTTTGGGTATAGAGTTTATTTAGTAGGTTGTGGAGGAGAAAGGGAAGGGGGAAGATGGGAATAGGAGGAAGGGGGAAGAAGAGAGAGGGACAGTAGTTACCTCTTCAGAAGAGGGACAGGAAGAAGAAGAGAGAGAGCAGGCTGGAGAGGAGGTGGGGGTGGGAATCTGCTTGCCTTGGCAGAAGGGGGGAGGTTGGAAGTGAGCGGTGATATGGGAGTCCCCTTTGTGTACTGTGATTACCATTAATGAATAAAGAAACTGCCTTGGCCTGTTAATAGGGCAGAGCTTAGGTAGGCGGAGAAGACTGAACTGAATGCTGGGAGAAAAAAAGGCGGAGTCAGGGAGATGCCATGGATTTGCTGCTGGAGATAGACGTGCTGAAAATTTGCTGTCATGTGGAGATATACAGATTAATAGGAATGGGTTAAATTAAGATGTGAGAGTTAACCAATAAGAAGCTAGAGCTAATGGGCCAAGCAGTGATTTAATGATTTTCTGTGTGGTTATTTCAAGGCTAAGCTGGCCGGGCAGCTGGGAACTGGGCAGCGGGACAAACAGAGACCTCTCCTCCTTACAGGGCCGAGCTTGTCTCTTAAAGGGACAGGGTACTCAGGTGACAGGAAAGGTCAGGAGAATGATAACAGAACCTTCTAGAAATTTTTAAAGAGCTATAATAGACATTAGCTATTTTTCAATAGTCTGCAACAATTATACCTGGCCAACCTAGTCTACATAGTGAATTCCAGGACAGCCAGGACTACTCAGAGAGACCCTGTCTCAAGAAAGAAAACCAAAGAGAGAAAGAAAGAGAAACTTGACTGGTGTGGTGACACCTAGAATCCCCGGACTGGAGGTGAAGGCAGAGGCTCATCATCCTCAGAAAGGTAGCTATTCTAGGCTAGTAGTCTGTGCTCTATGGTACTCTCCCCAAAAAGCAAAACCTGGGCTGGGCACGGTGGCACACATCCTTAACTGCAGTACTGGGTGCCAAAGGCAGGCAGATCTTTGTGAGTCTGAGGCCAGCCTGACTTACATAGTGAATTCCAGAACAGCCAGGGCTACAGAGAGCAGAAAGACATTATATATATATGGACTAGAGTGTCATTAGGTGGTACAAATCTTCCCTAGACCCTGAGACTTTTATTCTTTTGTAGACAAAGAATAAAAACCAAACAAACAATACTGTTTTATGTGAAATTCAAATTAACTGTGTTATTTTCCAGTGCTGCCTCAGGGACCGTTTGGCACTGTTTGAAGACATTTGTGGTGGTCACACCTGGAGGAACAAAGGCAGAATGTTGTGTTTTGGATGTAAAATGCCCCTCACAATCTCATGTGTTTGACCACTTGGTTCCTTCGGGAGGTTGTGAACCTTGCTGAAGGAAGACCTCCCAAGCCCTGCCTCATGTCTTTCCTGCCATGATGGACAGATGTGGACAGCCCTGCTCAACAGCTTATCATCTCTATGCTGTTTCCCCACATAGCCCACTTCCTTGTCCCATCTCTTTTGTCCCCTTTCCCTGTTAGGATCTGTTGTCTTACTTCCTCTTCTGTGTGGAAGCTTAAAGCCAAAGTAAGATTCTAAGTAAGATTCAAAGTAAGATTTGCTTAGCAGGTAAGGTGCTTGGTGCTAAACCTGATGGCTTGAGTTTGATTCTAGAGACCCATGTGGTGTAAAGAGAGAACCAACTCCTGGAAATCGTCCTCTGACCTTCACACACATGCTGTGTCACACACATGCCCTCACGCATACACACACATGCACAAACAAATACATAAAACTTTCAAACAGGGGCTGGAGAGATGGCTCAGAGGTTAAGAGCATTGCCTGCTCTTCCAAAGGTCCTGAGTTCAATTCCCAGCAACCACATGGTGGCTCACAACCATCTGTAATGGGGTCTGGTGCCCTCTTCTGGCCTTCAGGCATATACACAGACAGAATATTGTATACATAATAAATAAATAAATAAATATTAAAAAAACAAAAAAACCTTTCAAACAACAAAGGATATTGTAATACCCAGCATCCATCTTTGAAAGCCCCCTCCCAGGAGTTGCCTTGGTCCCGACTCCACCTCCGGGAAAGCCTGCCAAGTATTGACCCCTCCCCAGGGAGAGGGTCAGGATCACTCCCACAGGTTATTTAGGCTGCCGCCCAAAAGAGGAACACATGGTCTCGGGTTTTGTGGTCTCCCCTGCTCTCTCTTTCTCATCATGTTTTTCCTGGGACCCGGGGGTGCTGCATTAAACGTGGCCATCTTTTATTTGGTCTAATTTGGTCTGATTGGAAGAGAAGTTCATCTTAAGAATTATTGCTAACAGATATTAGCATCTTAAGCATTAAGTTCACCTAAAATTAAATTCACTTAATTAATTAAATTTCACTTAAATTCATAGGTGGGATTGATGGTGGTGGCACGCGTCTTTAATCCCAGCACTCAAGAGGCAGAGACAGGCAGACTTCTGTGAATTTGAGGCCAGCCTGATCTACAAGAGGTAGTTCCAGGACAGGCTCCAAAGCTACAAAGAAACCGTGCCTTGAAAAAAACTAAAAACCAAAACAAATCAAAATTTTAGGTGGGCTGGGGCAATGACGGTGCAAGCATGAGGACCTGAACCCAAACAACTCGTGTGAATGAAGCAAGCGTGGGAGTGAGAGGTTAAAGTACGCCATGAAGTGTGAGGACCTGAGTTTTAATGCCCAGCACCCACTGGACATGGTCAGGGGTATCTAGAATTCTGGTTCTTCTAGTCAGGATGGGAAATAGAGGCAGAAAATTTCCTGAAAGCTTTCAGGGCAGCTAACCTGGCATATGCATCAGCAAACAGCAGAGGTGGAAGGTCAGGACCTGAAGCTGAGGGTGTCCTCTGACCTCTACACGTTTCAGGGCAGCTAACCTGGCATATGCATCAGCAAACAGCAGAAGTGGAAGGTCAGGACCTGAAGCTGAGGGTGTCCTCTGACCTCTACACGTTTGTACTTACGTGCGAACACAGACACAGACAGACACACACATACCTTCAGAGAATAGTGGTATTTCAGGAGAATATCATGGCAATGGGGATTCACGCATCATTTTAAACTCTGAGCATGGGCCAGAGAGATGGCTCAACAGTAAGCATGCTTGCATGTATGCCTCTGATCTGAGTCTGATCCCCAGAACGCACACGGTGGAAGGGAAGAATTGATTCCTGTAAGTTGTTCTATGACCTCTGCTGTGGACGTTTGCATGTCCCCCACTCAAAATAAATGAATGCAAGTTAAGAAAAGAATCTATGGGCACATCCAAAGAGGATGTGGAAGGGAAGTTTCTCGTTTTGTTGCTGGGAATCAAATCCAAACACATGCTAGGCAAATGCTCTGTCACTGAGTGGAACCTCAGCTCCAAGGGGAAGCATTAGCTGCAAACAATAGTCCTTGGCCACAAATTTATTTTCGATTGTGTGTCTATGGGTGTATGTGCACGTGTGTGTGGTATCTGCCTGATGTGGGTGCTGGGGAACTGAACTCTGACCCTCTGCAAGAGCAGCAAGTGCTCTTAATCTCTGTGTCCTCTCTAGCCCTGGCTACAATTAAGATGGTGTCGGTGTAAATTTGAATAGACATTTGCTGAGCACATGCTCTTTTAGATTTGCTATTTGCTTTCTATTTGTTTCTTTTGAGGATTTATGTTGTGTATATGTGTGTGGGAGTGTGTGTCATGTGTGTGATGCCCATGAGGCCCTGGAACTGGAGTTTCAGATGCTTGACTTCAATGATAAGTCACAGACTCGGGTCCTCTGCATGAACAGCGAGTACTGTTAACTGCTGAGCCCTTAATTTTCTTACTGAGACAGAGTCTCACATTATACAGCCCAGGCTGGCCTTGTACTCTAGGGCAATCCTCCTCCCTCAGCCTCTTATGAACTGAAGTCATGGACAGAAGCCACCATACGTAGCGGAATTAATTTCTGTATAAAGTGTGATGGTTTCTTTGAAATTCTATGGCCTTTTGGAGTCTTTTGTTACTACTGAGGGCAGGAGAGAAAGATGGGCACTTTGGGGAACGGTATCTCACACTCAGGAGCCTGATGGAAGCCTCTCACCGTCTCAGAGCTACCAAGTACAGCACAATTAGCAGCATTTGTTGTTATGGTTGCCAACACAGAGACAATATTCCTATCATATAGTCATATTGCAAACAATAAATTTAAAACAGAAATAAGTCATGCTTAAGATCCAGAGATCAGTCTTCACACACCACCAACTTGTGACATACAGTTTTACCTTACCAGTTGGAAACCCTATCTGAGGGACCTCTCTGTGACTTCACTAACTAGGGGAAAAAGAGGACCCTTAAAACCGTTTGAGGGGCTGGAGAGATGGCTCAGTGGTAAGAGCTATTCTTGCACTTGTAGAGGACCAGGATGGGAGCTCAGTTCCCAATACCCAGAGTAGGAGGCTCACAGCCATCTCTAATTCCAACTCTGGGGATCTGATGCCTTCTTCTGCTTTCCATGGGCATTGCACACACAGGCACCGCACACACGGGAACGGCACACACGGGCACCGCACACACGGGCACTGCAGACATGGGCACCGCACACACGGGCACCGCACACACGGGAACGGCACACACGGGCACCGCACACACGGGCACTGCACACACGAGCACTGCACACACGGGCACCGCACACACGGGCACTGCACACACGGGAACGGCACACACGGGCACTGCACACACGGGCACTGCAGACATGGGCACTGCACACACGGGCACCGCAGACACGGGCACCGCACACACGGGCACTGCACACACGAGCACGGCACACACGGGCACCGCACACACGGGCACCACACACACGGGCACCGCACACATGGGCACTGCAGACATGGGCACTGCACACACGGGCACTGCACACACGGGCACCGCACACACAGGCACTGCAGACATGGGCACCGCACACACGGGCACCGCACACACGGGCACTGCACACACAGGCACCGCACACAAGGGCACTGCAGACACGGGCACTGCACACACGGACACTGCAGACATGGGCACCGCACACACGGGCACCGCACACACGGGCACCGCACACACGGGTACCGCACACACGGGCACCGCACACACGGGTACCGCACACACGGGCACTGCACACATGGGCACTGCACACATGGGCACATACATACACACAGACAATCATACATTGAAAAAAGAAAGAAACCTTTACAGATGTGCCTTTTGAAGCACTAAAATTGTGTATATGGCTACTGCAAAGATACTTGATCGAGCTCTCTCTTTAGAAATCACACTAGAGTGTATACTCTCCTTTTTCTAAGACCCCTGCTTTGTTATATCTTCTGAATAAGCTTCGACTCTGGTTTATACCGACGCCTCCTGAATTTTGTGAAATTCTTCTGAAAAGCTGTGAAGCCAATTATCTAGGCTCACTGGGGTGAAGGTCTGCAAATCATCTCTCAGCAACTCTTCGGAGCTGGATCTCTGGCCCATCCCTGCAGCCACCACACAGGAGTGCCTTTCTTTCTGTCTTCCCGGGTTCACCATTACCATTTTCTATTACATTAGGATTAACAGCGGCAACTTCATTTTGATTTTGATGACGTTCCCAGAAGTCTATTTGACAATTTTTTAAAAAAATATTTATTTATTTATTCATTATGTATACAATGTTCTGTCTGTATGCCTGCAGGCCAGAAGAGGGCACCAGACCTCATTACAGATGGTTGTGAGCCACCATGTGGTTGCTGGGAATTGAACTCAGGACCTCTGAAAGAAGAGTCAGTGCTCTTAACCACTGAGCCATCTCTCCAGCCCTTGACAATTTTTGTATGCTGCTAGTGTCTACAGCCAGAGCAGACTCAACCTGTGGGATCTGATATTCTCTTTAGTATAGGCTGTGTCCACAGGAGAAAACCTTGATGTCTGTCAAGTTCTATAAACATTTACTCACAGGAGAGTTCTCTGCGCTGAGTATGTGAGTGTCACGACCGCCTCGACCAGCAAGGAAGACGCAACACCGGACTCTTCTTTCAGCAGTTTATTCAGGAACCTTGAACATTCTTCGAATACCGGGGAAAGCCAACCCACAGCTAAAGTAGCCCCTGGTTAGCCAGCCCCAGCAAGCTACGTGGGAAATGCGGATAGGTCTAGGTGCACGAAAGCAAGCCACTTTCTCAGTCTTGGCCATATATGGGATGGTATGTGACTTAGACCACCTATCAGTCTTAGCCATATATGGGATAGTATGTGACTTAGAGAACATTCTCAAGAGGGGGTGATGGGCAGAAACCAGCGCCACCCTCATGGCACTGCACAATGCAGCTCTCTACGTGTGAGTAAAGAGAAGGGCTGTTTTTCTTTCAGAATTGAGTGCTGAATTAAATGACAAGGAGGAAAAACTAAGGAATCTACAGAAGACAATTGCAGAGCTAGGGCCAGTTGAGCGATGAAGGCAATGATACCCACCCCCAAGTATGGCGGTCACCTTGATGTGGCCGATTCTTTTCCATTAGGAACAATTTTGCAGAGGAATAAAGTGAAATGAGAGGCAAGAACCCTGGAAGTGAAGACCTTTGGGTGGTGGGAAGGCAACCACATCTGCTGCAGTAGTTTTGGATCTGGTCATTTTGTTTGACACAGCAGAAAGCCTTGCTATCTAGCACAGGTCTAAGAGCCAAAGTTCTTCTGTAAGCCCTGCCTGCCCTAGGACAGGCAACTTTCTGGAATGCTGGGAGTTGCAGTTCTCAGAAAATAACAAAGCCACATGGAAAATATGGTGGCTATATAGTTTTGTCCTTAAAAAGCCCCTTACACTCTGGACTCATCATCACTCACTGCGAATGCAGCTGTTGCCCTGACCAGAATCCATGCTGGTCAGTACTTAATTAAGGCTTGCTTCTAATTTTGCTCAAATTTATGGAATTGATTTGTCTTTTACTAATCTCAGGATTAGCATCTGGAGGCCCCAGTGAGATAAGAAAGACCTTTCCACCTAAATTCTGCAGTTAGGCTCTTGACTCTGTCTCCAGGGACCTCCCACAGTGAAGGAGGAGATAGTTCTAAAAAGGAGATGGCAAGCATTGTTGGTGAGATCCACCTGCCTCTGCCTCACTGGGATGTGGGAGTGCTGGGATGGGGTAAGGTAGCCATTGCCAGTCTCTTGTTAGAAACCGGGTGCTGTTCCAGCCTACCTTCCCAGCTGGGCACCAGCGGCCGGGTCCGCGCCACCTTCCCAGCTGGGCACCAGCCGCCGGGTCCTCGCCATCTTCCCAGCTGGGCACCAGCGGCCGGGTCCTCGCCACCTTCCCAGCTGGGCACCAGCGGCCGGGTCCTCGCCATCTTCAGAGCTCGGTACCAGGGTGTTGTCAAATGTGATCTTCAAACACTTAAAAAGGTGCTCTCCATCACAGACGTAGCTCTCGCTCACTTGCTCTGTCTCTCTCTTGTCCCCACTCCTAGATAGCCTTTCATTCCACATCCCCCATATACACAATAAATCTTGTGAAATCTGTTGTATGGTGTGATTTCTATGTTTTGGGGGGTGGCTGTTGTTGCTTTTTTTTTTTTTTCCCGAGACAGGGCCTTAGCCGTCCTGGAACTAGGTCTTGTAGAACAGGCTGACCTCAAACTCACAGAGATCTGCCTGCCTCTCCCTCCTGAGTGCTGGGTTTAAAGGTATATGCCACACTGCCTGGTGGTAGTGTGATTTCTACAGCACTCTTTGCCTGGATCTGTCTCTCTGATTGGTTTTGAATGTGTGAACTTACTAGACTGTTTCTCCTACCGCTAGGGCTCAAAATTTACCTCTGGCCTTTCTGGCCACTGAAGCTGATGTAATAGGGATTGAGATGTCAGTCGGGTACGCACAATATCACAGGTTTAATGCTGTCCTAGCTCCTCCTGTATGAGATGTCAGTCGGGTATGCACAATATCACAGGTTTAATGCTGTCCTAGCTCCTCCTGTATGCTCCACCATAGGGTTTCTCTGTAACAGCCCTGGCTGTTCTGGAACTTGCTCTGTAGAGCAGGCTGGCCTTGAACTCACCTACTTCTGACTCTAAGTGTTGGGATTAAACACACCTGGCTGTTCTAGTTTATTGAAAAACTGGCTCTAAAATTAGGTAATGGCTCTTCCTTTCCCAGACTCAGATATGCTTTTAAAATCTCTGTCTGGGTCAAGAGTTGAAACAGTGAGAAAAGAAAAAAGCAGAATAGGTAAAGGGATTATTGGTTTCATTTAATTATCTTAAACTATTTATATGAATTTTTTGGTTAAAAATCTGTAATATCCATTAAAAAAAGTTAATTTAGTCCACCAGAACTGGAGTGGGACAGAACCAGCTACCTAGGACAGAGAGCTAACAATCACTACTGGGAGCAGAAGCCAGGAGCAAATCCAGTCCTGGAAGCCACCCCAGTCCCAGAACACAGGCAGATCAGGACTGAGCTAGCGGCCAGATCCAGAGTCAGTGATCTCCACCAGAACAGGCTCAACTCGGAGCCAGGGACTTCTGCAGAAGGGGATCCAGACCAGGATTTACAGAAACAGGGCAAAGCCAGCAGCCTAGGCCAAAGTAAGCCTGAGACAGCAAACTCCAAAGGAGCAAACCAAAGCACAGGAGCGCTGAGCTATCTCCAGGAATGCAGAGTAACCAAAGGGGTAACCAGAACTGTGACACTGACTATACCATGAGGAACATTATCTGAGCTTTGGATTCACTGGCACCTAGAAGATTATTCAACAGAATCTCAGACAGCCCCAACCACACCTATAAGAGGAAAAGATGAGTAGAAAAGGTAAGATCACACAATACACCACAAAGAGCAAAACAATACCAGTAAAACCTAAAGATCTTACAAAAGCAAGACCTGAACAACCAAATATGGATGAACCAAAAGAAAATGACCTAAAAAATAACTTCAAGAGAATGTTTGAAATCCTTAAAGATGAAATGAGAAATTCCCTTAAAGAAAATTGAGGAAAAGACAAAGAAAAAAATTGGAAGATATCAGCAAATCACTTAAAGAAAACCAAGAAAAAGAAATCAAACATATTCAGGAATTGAAAACAAATAGAAACAATAACGAAAACACAAGCTGAAGGAATTATAGAAACAGAAATCATGAGAAAAAGATAAAAAACCACAAACACAAGCATGGACAACAGAATACAGGAGATGGAAGAGAGAATCTCAAGTGCTGAAGATACAATAAAGGAAATAGAAACATCAGTTAAAGAAAACATTAAATCTAACAAAAGCTTAACCCAAAATATCCAGGAAATATGGGACATCATGAAAAGGACAAATCTTAGAATAATAGTATAGAAAAAGGAGAAGTTCAACTCAAAGGCACAGAAAATTTATTTATCAAAATCATAGAAGAAAATTTCCTTACCTAAAGATAGATATGCCTATGAAGATACAAGAAGCTTACAGAACACCAAATAGACTGGATCCAAAAAAAAGTCCTCTCACTACATAATAATCTAAACAATAAATATACAGAGGAAAGAACGAATATTAAGAGCTGCAAAGGAAAAAGTCCAAGTAACATATAAAGGTCGACCTATCAGAATTACACCTGACTTCTCAGTGGAGACAATGAAAGCCAGAAGGTCATGGTCAAGCATTATACAAACATTAAGAGACCACGGATGCCAGCCCAGACTATTATACTCAGCAAAATTGTCAATCACCATAGAAGGACAAAACAAGATATTCCATGGAAAATCTAGATTTCACCAATACCTAGTCACAAACTCAGCCCTACACAAAATACTAGAAGGAAACTCCAAACTAAGGAAGATGGCTACACCAACAAAAACACAGACAATTGATGATCTCATAACAGCAAATACCAAAGAAGAAAAAAACACACAAATTAACATCACCAACGATGAAAACTAAATTAACAGGAGATATCCCTTAATGTAAATGGACTCAACTCACCTATAAAAAGGCACAGACTAACAGATTGGATACGAAAACAGAATCCATCCTTCTTCTGCATACAAGAAACACATCTCAACATCAAAAACAGACATTGTCTTAGAGTAAAGGGTTGGGAAAAAAATATACCAATCAAATGGACCTAAGAAACAAGCAGGTGTAGCTATTCTAATATCTAACAAAATAGA